TACTTTGGCCTTTTTGGAAACACAGGAAGGAGCAATCAGCTAAGTGAGCTTAGTGCTTGGAAAAAATCTTTCATTCCTTTAGAGACAGCATGAAAAGTCAGCTGAGTACAAAACATAGAGAGGAAAACAAGAAGAAAAGGGACAAGAAGAGAGGGACACAACCTAGAGGGCACCCTGCCTGTCTTTGCCTAGGGCCCCACATTTCCCAAATCCGCCCCTGGAAATGTCCACCATCTGTTAAGCTTCTAGAGCCGCTTCTTTTTAGAACCAGTTCACTGTTAAAACCGTCTACATAGATACCAAACAAGTTCATATCCAGTTTAACAAACAGAACCAGCGTTTGCACTGCAAAAACCAACCAGAAATAGGTAAAACATTCCTTAAATTAAGTGTATTTACCCTTAATTTGACGTGGTAAATAAAATGATTTGGTAATGGAATCACTATTTACCACTAAAATAAGATAATTAGATATTATGCACTTGAAATAAGACAAAGCAATAGTTATTTTTTTTCTTATTTTAAATATAAATTGTCTTCAATTGGCAAAGTGTCTCACTTACCTCCTAAATTTAAGAGAATATGGACTTAATTTCAGCAAAAATGACTAATAAAAACAATCTAAATAAGTCATTTGTTTCTTTAAATAGTGCTTTTTTTTCTTTAATTCAGGAGGTAAGTGAGAATTTAAGTGACAATTTATTTTTAAAATTAGAAAACACAATAGAATTGTCTTATTTAAAGTGCATATTATCTAACTATCTTATTTTAAGAGTAATAAATCTCATTCCATTGGGAAATCATCTTATTTATCTGCTCAAATTAAGGGTAAATACACTTGATTTAAGAAATTTGTACTTATTTTTAGATCGTTTTTGCAGTGCAGCTGAGACAGACCTTCACACTTCAAAACAATCTAGAAAAAATAAGCAAACATTTCTCAAAATAAGTCTATTTCCCCTTAAATTGAGCAGGTAAATAAGGTAGTTTGCCAATGGAGTTAGTATTTTAGTCTTAATATAAGATAATTAGATAATATGCACTTGAAATAAAACAATGAAATTGTTTCTTCTTATTTTAAATCTAAATTGTCTTGCTCCATAAGCAAAGTGTGTCACTTACCTCCTTAATTCAAGAAAAAACGGCCTTATTTTTTTAAAAAACTTCAGTTTTTTTCAGTGCAGCCTCCCTTCTCCAGCTTCCCATCCTCCATGTGAGGATCAGACAATCAGATAGTCTCTGCTGTCTCTGCTCAGGCAGACAAGGCGCCTCTGGCAGGAAGGCTAAAGAAGCTGAAGGCCACATGAAACAATGCGGCCTATAGATCCAAACATCAGGATAAATGGATTTTCCACTTTAGAGCAGGAGGCAGAGAAAAAGAACATTCCTCCAGATACCAGGAAATCCCTGCTTTTTCAGAGCATCTATTAAACCATAAGTTATCATAAAAAAGAAATGATCTCTAAGATGTTTGTTTTGTCTGTTTTAGAGCCTGAGAGCGAAGCTCATTTCTCTCTGCTCTGATCTGCTGGTTTTAAAGCAGAGATTAACCTGGATGGAGTTTCATGGGCTACTTTCCTTTGCCAGGTTTCTGTTAATGGTTTGGAATCCCCACTAGAGGGAATGATCAGATCCCAGCAGAAAACCCACTGCACTGGAAAAAATCCAAATCTAGATAAGTCGTTTATTCTTAGAATAAGTGCATTTGTTCTTGAATCGAGGAGGTAAAAATAGAACAACACAATTTACACTTAAAATTAGAAAACACAATTGCATTGTCTTATTTCAAGTGCATATTATCTAGATATCTGATTTTAAGAGTAAAACTGGTCATTCCGTTGGCAAACTATCTCATTTACCTGCTCAAATTAAGGGTAAATACACTTAATTTAAGACATTTTTTACTAATTTTTAGATCGTTTTTGCAGTGTGGGAAAATGTCTTAAATTAACCGTTTTTACCTTTAATTTGAGCAGTTAAATGAGATTATCTTCCAATGGAATGGAGTATTTTTACTCTTAAAATGATATATTTAGATAAAATGCACTTGAAATCAGACAATGAAATAGTGTTTTTCTTATTTTAAAGGTAACAATGTGAACAAAATTAACTTATTTAAAGAAAAACTGACTTTGATTTTGATTTATTTCCAGTGTAACATAACCTGTCTGCTAATCCTGAAACAGGAATATTTCCAAACCACCTTTCATCTCACTGATAGAAAACAAAACAAAAAACTGACAAATGATCAGAAACAAGTGGGGGAGGAGCAGAGCTACTATGGATGTTATCTAATGATAGGAAACTCTGCAGAATTTCTTCTATTTTTCAGTTTTATTTTAACTGGACAAAAAAAAATGTTTTGTTTTGGGGGTTTTTCTGTCCAGAACATGAAGTTAAGCTAAAATTGTTCATGTTTGTAGCACAGAGCTTGGAATCCTGAGGTTGTGAGTTCAAAACCCACTCCCACAGACTGCCACTCTGGGTCCCTGAGCAAAGACCTTTAACCACTGATTGCTCCCTGGGCGCCGCACCATGGCAGCCCACTGCTGTCCAAGGTTAGATGTGACATAAATAAAGTTAATTTATGTTTTACAGATAAAACAACCAGCCTGCAAATCATCTGACCAATCAGAGAAGAGAAAGTTCTTAAAGAGGCAGGAGGACGACTGCGACACGTACATAACAATCAGGATTCAGATTCCTGTTTTTCTTTCAGATCTCATCTGCTGATTGGAATAAAAAAACGTTTTTAAACATCTTTTTTTCGATGGAGGGAATTCTGAAATCCAGGAGAAAATAAAGACTTCACACGATTATCCCCGTTTACACATCACTGCATTCATTCACAACCTGCATCTAATTTTAAGCAGCTGCAAAAAAAAGGACATCAAAATGCACGCTGGGTGATGCATTTATGAACCGGAAATAGTGGGAAATTGTAGCTTTAGATCAAAGTCAGCCAAAGGGAACAAATCAGATCCTGGAGGGTTGATGCATCTATAATCGTTCAAGATGAGGAACTTTCAACAAGTGGGTATAAATATACAAGAGCCGCTTCTATTTTATTTATTTTATTTTTATGTTTCCATCCTCTTGGTGCTGAAGCTTCATTCTGCTGTGATTTAAATTCCCATCCAGCAGTGAGCCAACTCCAGGCAATAAATGATTAAACTTACTCTGTCTGCTTCGGTGTGTTTTGATGTGAATGTTGGAAGTTTAAAATCATCTAGAAAAAGGAGGCGCTCTGCAGGACCAGCTAATATTTATGGATAGATAGATGCCGGGGTGAGAAGAAGGAAAATAATCAAAGTCCAGCCGCTGCAGCTCAGAGGCATCCGGATGATTAAAAAGCCTGCGTGAGACGGATGGAGGTAAATTAAAGATGTCTGTTTATCAGAGAGTTATAAAGGAGCGTCAGGATGAAGACCTCCTTATCTGTCCTGACATACGGGGGGCAAAGACAGACGAAGAAACGTCTGAAAAGATCAATTTATAGCCTTTAAAACAGGATTATTAACATTCCCAACACTGCACTGGAAGAAAACAGAAATCTAGATAATTTTTTTCCTAAAATTAGTGCATTTATTCTTGGATTCAGGAGATAAAAGAGACATTTTAAAAACGGAACAAAACAATTTATATTTAAAATAAGAAAACATAATTGCATCGTCTTATTTCAAGTGCATTTTATCAAAATATCGTTAAAATACCTCATTTACTTCCTTAATTTAAGTGTAAATACACTAAATTTAAGGAATTTTTACTTTTTCAGCAGTTAAGTGATACACTTTGCCAATGGAATAAGGTAATTTACATTTAAAATAAGAAAAAAACAACTGCAGTCTCTTATTTCAAGTGCATAATATCTAATTTTATACTTTAATAGTAAAAACCCTCATTCCATCGGCAGATTGTCTCATTTACCTGCTGAAATTAAGGGTAAATACACTTCATTTGAGATCATTTTTGCAGTGCAGGTTGTTTAAAATGTGAAAAATGATCCAGTTTCCCTCCTATCATGTAACCTTTATCATATTTTGTCTAATATGGTAAAAAATAAACTATTTAGCTTTTATTTTTCAACTAAAGCTGAAATTAATTTCGAAAACTTGGAGTAAACATGTTGGAATAAACGGCACAAACATTGTGTTTCATTCAGGCTGCAAAGTCGACATCTAGATACGTCTTTTTTTCTTCAAATAAATGCATTTGTTCTAGAATTTAGGAGATAAAAGTGACATTTTGTATTCACTGCAAAAACAATCTAGAAATAAGTAAAAATGTCTTCAATTAAGTGAATTTGTCCTTAATTTTAGTAGGTAAATAAGATGATTTGCCAACGGAATAAGACTGTTTACTCTTAAAATAAGATAATTAGATAAAATGCTGTGGAAATAAGACAATGCAATTATTTTTTTTACTTATTTTAAGTGTAAATTATCTTGTTTCACTGGCAAAGTGCCTCACTTACCTCCTCAATTCCAGAAAAAGTTGTTGTTTTTTTGCATTGTAGACTTATTTCAAGTTGTATATTATCAAACTATCTTATTTAAGAGTAGAAATACTCATTCCATTTCCAAACTAAGGATATAAAGACTTTATTTAAGGAATTTGTACTTCTTTCTAGATAATCTTTGCAGTGGATTTCCTCCTGCATGACTGTGCAATCAGGACAAACCATCTGCTGGGCTTCAACTTAATCATGCAGCTTTTATCAGCTCTGAGAAACGACTTAAATGACACTTTCTGGGTGTTTTTTCTGCCATAAAGTCATGTTTCAGATGTAATGTGGTCATAAATTGTCAATCTAAGCAGATAAAACATGATTGATCTTTAATAAAATGAGGGCTCAGCAGCTCCTGCAGCTTTAATCAGATTAAACAAACCTTTCTAACATGTTTCTGCAGTTAAAGTCTGGTTTTATTCCTCATGTTTCCAGATAAACTCTGCAGGATGATCTTAGGACCTGCGGAGGCGCACCTGTGCAGGGGTCTTACCTGCAGCTGCTGGAAGCCGCTCTCAGAGCCTCCTCTTCGGGCTGGGTGCAGCCGGCAGCCCGCTCCACGGTGCAGAGGAGCCGGGCAGCGGGTCGCTGTTCCTGGAGAGGTCGGTGCTGCTCATACAGCTGCTGCCAGCGCACGGCGGAGGCTTTCTGAACCCTCCCTCCCTCCGTAGTAAGGAGCTTTGCTTCCACCTGATCACGCGTCATCC